ATAAGTTTGTTTTTCAGCTTGTTAATCACCGCCTTAAGAAAAAATATCCATTTAAAGACTTTGCAACTATTATGAAATCAATGGTTGCATATGCAATCCTAAACATTCCTGTTGATGAGAATGACGAATTTGAAATTGGTAATAATAAAATCTCTTATATTGTTCTTGTATCAAAGGGCATTATAAATTTTGAGAATACATGTGATGATCCTAATGAGTCCTATATACATATGCCATATATATGGGTTTGGATAATAACATCAATCAAGAAATTCAAAGCGGTTCGATTTTGGGATGTTATGATTAATTATGAATCTCATACCTTATGACAGAGTTTTGAAGAATTTAATATGCAATTTTGGGTCCTACGTCTTCAACTTTTTAAAGAGTTAAATGTTTCAGTAACATTACGAGATCTCTTCAGAGATGCATATCATAGTGATCAAGAAATCTCTCTTTTAGATCTTGAATTTCAGCTCCCTACAGTAAAAGAATATTACGTAGAACTTACAAATTGATATCCTTACACAATGAACAATGAGCACTTATTGCTTGACACAGTATTTAAGAATGCCGAAGGAGTCCCATAGGATATCTTTCTTTTTCTAGATGATTACCTTATTGCCATTCAGGTTAAATCTTTAAATATCACAGCTGGACAGCCTCAAACCTTATCTAAGAGAATAGTGGAATGTGAGTACAAGAAAGTTAAAGATGCATTTGAAGTTATGGAGAAATCATTTGAGAACAGAAGTCCCATTAAACATTGGGTCCTTTTTATCTGCACCAATGGATCTAAGACAAGAAATTGTTTGAAATCTTTAGAAAGAAATTGTTTCATAATAGATTGTGAAAACTATAAGCATTTCTATAGGTATACTTTTTCAACTCGTGCTGAATTTTCAGCAGGTATGAGTTGATATCTTTGTATTATATAATTATCTTTATAATCTTACATTTATTGTATAGATAACGACCAATTGGATGCAAATATTGCAGAGGAATACGAATTAAGAACAATTAGTGGAATAGGAAATGCAATTGCATCTGCCATCAAGGATAAAAGACCATTTGAGGATGAAAATGATCTTTATGATAAGGTTAAAAACATTCCTATGGAGGCAAGAAAAAAAATCAAGGTTACGAAAAATGAATAGAACAAATTCGTAGCATTTAACTGTAATTGTAAACATAGCAGTTTCATGTAATATTTTTTTTAAACTTTACAATATTGCATACAATAAAAATCTGATATTCCGATACAGATGATGTTTTATTTTTCGTATAATATAATGAAATAAATGAAATGTATGATATGCTTTTCAAGGAAGTACGCGGAGACTAGGTTATTTAATGCAAGTCTCCTAGCATCAAGTTATTTCTTTATTTTATATAGATTTCTACAACTAACTTGTTTTTATCTATATCACTAACTACACCACCATAATCTTTCTCTACCTGATTTCTTATAAATATCTACAAATCTTATACCCGCACAGATTATGTAAAATAATATTTCCCGATCCAAGTGGAACTTTAGGTCTCATTTTTTTATTTACCATATATCTCTATATTTCATGCTTGATATAATGTATAGCCTTTTTGGCCGAATTTTTTATTGATGTAGTAAATAAATTACATGATTCAGTTTGTAATAGCCTATTAGTGAAATTTGCTGAGAAAAAATTTTATTAATACATGCAAAAAAAAAATATAAAGTTCAGGACATAGCTTGTGTTACATGATGTCTATGCTAGTCTCCTATACAATTATTTTCGATTCGAAGAAAAATGATAAATTTTTTTTATATTGATTTACCCAATATATATGCAAAATTAAGATGTAATACAGAATGTTCAAATGATTATGTTACATTATTCATCAGGAGATCGAATAAGGTGATTATATGCAAAAATAACTAGTTATAAATATTTTTGCTAATCTCTACTCCATCTGAAGATCTGTGAGTACAAAAAAATGAGAATATCATCATTTTTGGAAAGTTTTACATTTTACTTATTTACGAATTTAATTAAATATTTGCGGATTTTTCGATTACTAACAAAAATTATATTCTTCACAAATTCCCATTTTCAAGTAATTATGCAATACAAGAAATATAAGGTATACACATTAAGTTTAATGATTTTATAAATGCATTTACATAATAATTTGATAAATATATTTCAATGTTTTGCAAGTTATTAGCACATAAGTTATAATATCGTATCTATAAAAATTTAAGGTGTTATTGCTTGTGCGAAGGTGTTTTTCAATAATATTATGAGCAATTAGTGACATTATTACAGAGGGTGGACAAAAGTATCTGCACACCCTCTATAAACGCGAATTAATGCTAGAAAAGTCATATGACCGCAATAACAAATTGCGATTATATGATATGTTAGTGTTTATTTATATTATAAACATAAAAAAATAACAATTTAATTTTTTTTTTAATAAATTTTCTT